TATTTATATATATATATATATAAAATAGTAAATTTACTGTATATATATAAGACAAGAATGCACCACATCACATTTTACATGTTATTTTGTAATCTAAATACTCATCAGAAATGCTTAATATTTCACAATAGTACTGTTTACTATTGTATTTTAATCAAACACATGCAGCCTTGGTGATCATAAGATGTCTTGTGTGTCTATGTGTATATGTCTAAATAGTATACTTTTATATTTCTCTTGAGTTCAGATTCCTGACTGTAAATATAAGCAATATAGTAAGGCCTGCCTTAACCCTTAAATGCATACCTCGGGTCTTTAGCGACCCGGGACATCATTCTCTACCCTCTCCCTCCTTCATTTTTTTAAGTTAGACATCAACTTTCTTAGTATTCCTCAATCTGTTAATTATAAACAATATAACAAGAAAAAAATAGTAAAATATAAAAGAATGCCAGTTTTCTGATTAATTTTTTTAAAAAAGTGTATAGGGTCGCTAGAGACCCGAGGTATGTAAATGTGTAAGTATTTTTTCCTGCGCAACTATATTTACATATCTGATGACTCAATATGTGCAATGCATCATTTTTCCTCAAGGTGGCACTGTTTGATACACGGACGTTTCACTCATATGAGGCAGATGCTGAATGTACTGTGGAAGTGCGCTCTGACGATGACAGCGATGGTAAAATCATCTGCTCAAATTGAACCCTTTTAAGTTTCAAAAGGTAACGAAATATGCTTTATTTTATTCTTCTGTAATTGTTCTTAAAATATCAAGAGAGTTTTTTGCTATTGCAGCAGTTAGAGATCCATCCGTGCTGTTTATATTGGTCCGGGTCGCTAAATACCCGAATATGTAATAATGATTGGCGAAACATTCATGCATTTAAGGGTTAATAACTTGTCAGCAAGTCTGGGTTTTCATAAAGAAATCATAAACATGCAACAGCATCCGTAAATGTCACAAGCCAGTTGTCTTTTTCTAGACTTCATCGAGTCTTTAAACTATTAGGATCGGTTTACTATGATATATGACTGTGTAAACAAGACCTTATAAAAATAAAATACTTGGTCTAGATTGTAGGGTTCCTGAATGTAAGTGGTGCCTTTCATGGTTATACAAACCTTGTGAAAGGTGAAAAGCAGCCACATATGACAATCATTACACAATGACCTCTTTCCCCCGGGCTTTTAAAGTCTCTCTGCATGTGATGCAGTGACTTGCTTCTGTTAAAACATCATAAAGCTTTATGAGATCTGAAAGCAGCATCCTGCTGACAGCACGTTCCTGAACTCGAACTCAAACTTCTTAAGCGACGGAAACCACACCTGCCTCCCCCGTGAGGAACACTGGTGGGGCTTGTGAAGACAGCACAAATTTCAGCCCTCAGTGAGGCAGGTCAGCGGTTTGATGTGGGCAGCGGTTCCTGTTTTAGAACCGGATGCTTGAGGGTGGGTTGCTAAAGACATGGGCCTTTCAATTAAAGGCATTTTTGTTGTCCCCAGAGGCCTTCCATGTGGAAAACATGGAAAGACATATCATCAAAAGGCAGGGAACAAAACCCCAGCCCATTCCAGAGGAGAGGAACCATGTGTCTTCCTTGGCGCACTTCCTTGCTTACTCTTCACTAAGAGACCTGAAAGAATTAGTATGTGCTCTGCTGATCAACAACAATGATCATGATATATAGTGGAGTATGGCCCAAAGCATTCTGGGATTATTCATTCATGCCATCTTTCATATCAGAACATATTCACTGTAAAAAAAAATTGTTCAAAAAACATTGACCTACATATCTCAACATTTACGACAATAAGGATGCATTGACATTAAAATGTTGGCCAATACGATAAATACTTTTTTTATGTTATGGTCAATAGCTGATAAATAGAAGGAATACAAATTGTATTAAAATATATTGTTTTGTCAAAATAGGAAAAAAAAAAAAAAGATTACATCTAACAGTTGCATGTGTATGTATATTTAACATATTATAATATTAATATTTAAAAGAATTAAATGTAATTATAAAATATGTATGATAATAATAATTATATATTATAATAGTATAATATTTAGAATAATAATATGTAATATAATAATAAAATATTAATATAATAATATTAAAATTCTATATTGTTTTGTCTAA